TGACGGTGGAAACAAAAAAAAAATTCATTTTATTCAAAGTGCAATTTTTTAGTTTTTTCCCAATTAAAAAGTTCCAGACCACGAAACAATGTCGTAAAATACGATTTTTTATATACCCAGTGATATGGTCAACAAAACCTACTATGTCTGACCTGGTTCTACGTCAGAAAAAAAAGACACGATAGGGTCTCGAATTTACTACACTAATACAGCAGCAGTCTCATAGTATCGTCGCTACGTGACCCACCTCTCTGCGAAGCCACTGCAACGGGCATTTCGCGATCTTTTCACTGAACAAACGGTGTATAGTCCGAGCGTGAACGACATTAATCCAGTTCCTACGTTGATGTTTCTTGATTATCAAATGTGATTAAAATTTTCTCTTTTTCTTCAGTGGTAGAATCCAACCACATTTTCCACTTCCATATCATTTTGTCGGTGAAAAACAAAATTTTCTTCTGTAGTATACCTACATTTCAGGGTAAAAACCATTTCGAGTTTCCAAAGTGAGAACTATAATTATTTCTTACATTCAAACAGACAATATGACTGAATTGAAGCGTCTTATAGCTAGACGAAGTGCATGCGCGGCGCGCATAACTGAGGTATTCAAAAATGCACTTGCTGCTACTTCACAAGGGAACGAGGAAACGATCGGTCTTTTCAGAGTAATATATGGTGATCTACAAAATGCATTTGAAGAATTTTCTCAACAACATGTTCCAAATTTCAACGGGGATCTGAATTTTTGGCCCACTTTCTTTGATATGTAGAAGCGAATTGTACATAATAATACATCCATTACCTGTGCCTCAAAATTGAAATATCTACTTTTCTATCTTGAAGGTGAACCTCAGAGATCAATCAGTGGATTCAAAATTACTGATGCTAATTACATTTTGGCGTACCATAAATTAGAAAAACGTTACCTAAATAAACGTTTCTTGGCAACGAATGCCATGAATTCCATAATGGCTGTCACCTGTAAGGGCGAGTCTCCTAAAGAACTAAGAAATCTTCTCAATACATTTTTCGAGTCGTTGGAACTGTTGAAATCCTTAACTTTCGCTGTGGATTCGTGGTGTTTCGTGCTGTCATTTAGATTTCCCTAATCGCTTCGCCAGTTACCGAGTTCATCGCTTAACGCGAGTTACGTCTCCATAAAAAAAAAGATAAAAAATCAAAATCTCTCCTAGCTAACTGACGAATCATATCCTAGACATCAAAAACACCCAATTAATCTTGAAAATGTGAGCGATTTTAATCTCCCATATTATAGGAGTAAGGAGTACTCTCTTTGAGCGATCTTTCACGCACCATGTCGTAACCGTGTATAAATCTTTCAGTGAAATCGATAAACAGTTATCTCTCCCACTTTTCGAAAACAAAATTAAAGACAGTCTCCTGAGTAAGCAGTGATCCTACCTAATTTCTAGTTCAGATAATATATCATTATGTAAACTATACTATAACGATGAGTGCCATGTAAAAATTTTTTTCCTGATATCGTGGTTGAGTGGAAGGATATCTATATGCTGAACTTTGCCGCGTAAAATGAAAGCAATTCATTATTATTATCATTATTTCAGTTCATATCATCCACTTATTCTGTACCCCGTGTCCCCCTGTATAAGGCAGGGATATCTGAAATGTACATACCCTATCGAATATCATTCACTCAAAAAGAGATATTATATTTCTTACATTCCTATCGGAAAGACCTAACACAAAAATAGGTGTCCCCCACCTGACCTGTTGCTCAAGAGCCAAGATTTAAAAAGGCCCCATCTTGGCTTCAACACATGAAACCCTTTCGCAAGAGAAGGAATCACCAAGAAGGATGATGAAACGTTGATTACACAAACAACAAATATTGCAAAATGAATTTCGTCTCGCAGTGTCAAGCAAGTCACTCAAATAATATGATTCAAGATTCAAGGATGCAACTTGAAAGAAATTTTAAATATCGATCATGATATCGATAGTCCATACGATAGTCGATACGATAGTCGATACATCAGTCGAATCACCAGTCGATACGGAATTGTGAATATCCCTGCACCATTACAGGCCACTGCCACTAAACGCGACAAATAGTCTTCTACAGGCAAGAGACTGAGATGTAAACAACAATATTCATGGGCATCTGACAAATGTGTAAGATTGGATGAGAAGTAGACGAAAATAACCTAACAGTCATTCAGTCTTGGACATTAGGAATCAAAACATTCATCAAGATGGAATTAGGTAAAGTACCTCAGAACCTCGAAAATAAATTGTTAGTATATTTTTCCTTAAAGGAATAAGCTGGGATTTCAGAACCACTGAACAACTACAGATGTCGGTACTTTAGTTAAAAATGGTGGATTCTGATTTCATTAAACAGACTCTTGTTCGAAATCTGACCAAGGAATCCAACAAGAAATTTATTTAACGTACACAAGGATTGTCCAGTGACTAGAGAATTATTAGCACACGGCCTGACTAGTTTCGTGGGTTCTCTGTATGATAGCTCTTGGATCTCCCAATAAAACATCAATTCAGCTGAACCAAAATATTTAATGGATCAGCCATGCAGGAATTGAAGATGACAGTGGTGTCCAGCAGGAGGACTCCATACAGGGAAGAAACGAATATCCCAGGTGGAAGGTCAAACCCAAAGTGAAAGCCCTATCAATGGAGGTGACATTGGGAATAGCAAATCCCACAACTCTCTTAGACATTACAAGGATATTACCTACGTGGATGGTGAGAGGCTTTGAAGATGCTGTTTATTCGACAGGGCTGAAACTGGGAACGCTACACAAAATTGGCCGGTCTGCAAGTTGAATCCGCACTAGGCGTAGGTGCGAGAATACTTGAACGTATCGGCTGAACACTCAACGCCGAGCTCTCAAACAATTCTCAACACCTTATATATATCTCACGAGCTTCAATCCCTCGAATAAGGACAATTTCTTCAAATAAATTGCTTCAAGATTCTCGAGTGATATCACACAGCACGCACCATTTTTTCAAGCAAGTTCCACCTGTGGCAGCACCTGTTAGTACCTCGGAGTAAAAAGGAGCTCGAAGCCATCTAGAAAGTTCTGAAGGACATAGAAGTAATAAAGGGAGAAGGTCGCCAAAATGTATTGCCCCAGGATAAATTCCACGTAATACTTTGAAAGTATATCTCCATACTCCCGAAAATACATTTGAATAAATTTCAGAAGGGCCCCATAATTAAGAAATCAAAGAATCAGATAATTAATTCATCTGTACCGCTACAGACTAGAGTAGTTCCAGCGCTCATCAATGATATTGCTCGTACTCTCGGCAGTCAATGGCTAACTCCAAGTGTTCGATCAAATGCCCAGTCGGCATAATATACCGATTGCCTGTCAGACGTCATGCGTCGAGCAGGACAGTCCGTCAACCGAGCCGTCATCAACCTTACCTAATTTCTCAGCGGATCAGAGCAATATCAAATCTTTGAAATCACCTTGTCGATCAATCATACTGCGATTTCGGGATGACTGGAAACGACCGATGATGTGGTGAGTATTATTTTGTCCCGTAGTTGACTTCCTCGATACAACTCTTGCTCCATTTTCAGATTCGATTCAAAACATCTACATCGGAGAAGGTATTTCAAGGAAAACTAGTGAGCTTTCTCTGACCAAGATGTTGATCATCAATAGATCCAGACTATGAGAGCAGCTGACCAAATTATAGAAAAAAGAAGGATAATCATCGACTGCTAACTTCTCTCGTTTCAGTGCGTGTGTATTTTTCAAGGTGATACAGTGATATGGTGCGCTGAATCTTTGTGAGGAATGCTTGAATTAACTGTGACTAATCTTTTACAATTTCTCATTGTTCATCTTGACATAGAACCAGAAATTTGCCCTACAGAAATATGATTCATTTTGTGGTTGTAACAAAATCATCGAGTCACGCAGTGCAGCTTCCCCATCACCTATCTGCAGAATTCACCGTATGGAACACGAAAATGCAAATATTAATGTTTCAATGCCTAAAAGCTTCGATGAGACTTTAAAGAGGTTATGTGAGCGCAAACGATAGGTCTAATTCGTTTCACCTTTTTATGAATGCCCTGGTAAAAGCAAATTGGCCTTCATGTCCATGTAATCCTATTAAAAGGCTTTGAGATACTATGATAGAACTATCGCTTGAAACAATTTGGCATTTAGCTCACTTTGTATTTGGGAGAGCTCTGTGAGAGTCATTGTAATTCCTTATCGAGACTATTCACTCTCAACTACTCTCTTGAAGCACTTAAGTTTCATAGGTGTCTCGAATTTGAGCAAGAGGTTTTGAACTGATTCTCTGAAACTACGTCATGAAGCAATCATATAACCAAATTCACACTAGGTCAATATGGATTTGACAGAGGCAATGATGAAACCTAATGGCATTATTCTAGCTATGTGAAAGTAATTATTAAAACCTATAAGCCACAATGAATTCATCGAAGTCAATCATAAAATCTATAGAATTTATGAAGTTTTATTCAGAACCGTCTTAAACCCATATAACCCATAATATAAATGTTTGTATTTTTTTGCCTACAAACGACTCAAGTTGAAATGATCACACAAGAAAATGAAAAGTGTGAAATTGAAAGAAATGACGACTTCACCCAAAAACAAAAAGAAAATTACCTGAGAATCAAAAATCATGTCGTGAGAGCAACAGTTAATCAGGATCCTCGAGCCCAAGCAATTCCAATTACTGCGTCTTTTAATTCATCCCACCTGAAACCACAGAAAAGCAACAGGAGAAAATCGTCTCTTTCAATGCCTTATCATTACCTTAAGGTTCAAATCAAACAATAGAGAAGGAAAATTGGTTTTAACCCAAGTAGCACACTCATATTGGACGATCGGCAGCATGATCGAGTAGACGTTCTCACCGCAGCTCTCGTGATTTTTCTAATAATCGTGGGAACAAGTCATAGTGGAAAAGTGAAGAACCTAATAGTTTTAGTTTTGTGTGTATCAAGAAAGCTAGCAGTAAACATGAGTAAAACTAGAGGAAATAAACCCATCAATGAACTAACTACGGAAGAACTGATTGCTAAAGTATGTTCTGAATTCACTGATAAAGTTCAAAAATCTTTCAATATGCGATTTGATGAGCTCGACAAGAAACTGAATTCCATAAATGGTACCCTTACTAATATTAAAAATAGCGTTCAAAATAATCAAGAAGCTATCGTTGTGGCTGATGAAAAGATAGAACGTCTAGAGCAATCAATTAAGGAAAACTCACTCAGAATTTATGGCTTAGTAGAGGAGGAAGAAGGAGTTTCTGTTTTGGAGCATGTTATTGAATTTTTCAACTCACAGCTGAAGGTAAATTGTTGCATTGAAGACTTTGATTGTGTTATGCGAATTAATCGGCGGGACGACAACGAGAACAAACCTCGAGTAGTGATTGTAAAATTCTTGAGTAATGTTAAAAAAACACAAGTCTTCAGTGCGAAGACAGAGCTGAAAAATAATGGGGTGTCAATTTTCGAAGATCTGACGAAGAAAAATTTTGCTCTGCTTACAATGGCCAAAAATAAATTCGGAAAGAAGCATGCATGGTCCCAAGGAGGGAAATTTTATTTTCACAATGAGAAAGACAGGAAGAGGTGCTCGGTGAACTGTGAAGGAGATATACAATCTCATTAAATAGGCTATCAGCTGAGTGTGGAAGTGTCTCATATCTTGCAAGAAATAAAAACCAAATAAAAACCCTTTTTACTTTGTTATATGTTTTTTGCTTGGCTCACTTATTCAGAGTATTAATGAATTCGTTTATGGTTCCAATACTACTTTTTTAGCATATGCAGAAATAATGTGCTATACAGGGTCCTACAATTATATTATTGTTAAGTTTCCATTATTTATCTTTTCCTTTACTAAATATATAATATGAATGTTATATTCAACTGCATCATCATTTTGTATACAAAACACTTATTATGAATTTTATATAAACTTCAAATTGAGAGTGAATTGCTTTTGAATGTTCCATTGTAATAATTGTTGTGAAAAAGAGTTGCCGTCGAGCATAACCTCTATATAATAAATATTTCAAATGACAAAAAATACATGGATGAATTTTGCACATTTCAATATAAGATCGGTTTTCACAGGGTTTGATTTGTTTTCGGAAATTGTTGCTGATGAATGTTTAGATATTTTAGGGCTCTCAGAAACCTGGCTTGACTCGTCATTTCCCAGCAGTGGAATTGGAATTCCAGGGTATAACTTAGTGCGTAATGACCGAGTTGGAAGAGGTGGAGGAGTCGCATTTTACATAAAAAACTGTTTCAAGTATAAAGTTATTGATGTTGGTCAGGAGAATGGACTTGAGAGCTTATGGATTTCAATAGAAGTTGCAGGTAAGAGTTTGTGTTTGGGCACACTCTACAGACCACCAAATGTAAATTTTTCTACCTGTCTGGATAGTCTAGAAAATACAATAACTAAACTATTACCAGAATATGATCATTTACTATTTGGGGGAGACTTGAATGTGGATATGCTCAATGAGCCTAATACAAATACCAAAATATTCAAAACTTTTTTAAATAATTATGGTTTACATTTGAAATGTTTCCATCCGACGCGGGTTGTAGGCGATAGTAGTACTCTCATCGATGTAATTATATCATCTGACTCAGATTTAGTATCAAGTGCAAATGTTTTCGAGATGGATAACATCTCTGATCATTGCTTAGTGAAATGTGATATGAAGTTGAAAAAAAATAAATTACAACCAAAAGTTTTAACCTATCGTGATTTTTCTACGTTCAGTTACAATACTTTCCTCCGAGACCTTTTTTCAATGAATTGGGATTATATCTTCTCACTGGACACTGTCGATGCCATGGTAAAGTTTTGGAATGATAATTTGTTGTTTTTGTTCGATATTCATGCCCCACTCAAAACTATTAGGATATCCAAAGCCCCTGCACCTTGGATGACGCATAACCTCAAACACATGATTAAATTGAAAAAAGAATCTTACAGTAAATATAAAAAAATGGGTACTGACCAATATTACGAATATTACAAAACCTTGAGAAACTCAGTGAATACTTCAACGAAAGCCGAAAAAAAAATCATTCTTAGAACGCAAGGCAAAGTCTGATCCTAAAGCTTTCTGGGATACAATGAAAGCATTGAACATAACTAACAAAAAAGATAATGACACACTAGTTGATATAGATCCTCAAATATATAGCGACTATCTATTGACTAGCATACCTGATATACCAGATGGAGTTGATGACCATTTGTTCCTTCACAAATACGATACAATATATGAAGGATTGGAGGAGGGCTTTAAATTCTCGGAGGTGAGTGTTGATAAAGTCAATCAAATGATTCGGACATTGAAATCTCAGGCTAAGGGATGCGATGGTATCGATTATAAGATGTTAGATATTATTTTTCCTCATCTGAGTGCTTATTTAACTTTCATCATAAATAGCTGTCTGCAAAAAGGTGTATTTCCTTCTTGTTGGAAAATGGCCGATGTAATTCCGATACCGAAAACTAAAAACCCTCAAGATGCATCACAATATAGACCAATAAGTATTTTACCTGCTGTATCAAAGGTTATCGAGAAAATCGTTAGAGAGCAATTGAACGATTATTTAAACAAAAACAAAATATTACCTTCGTGTCAATCTGGATTTCAAGCAAAGCACAGTACAACTACTGCCCTTCTTCAGGTAACAGATGACATCTCCAAGTATACCGATGAAAATGAAACTACATGTCTTATATTACTCGACTTCAGCAAGGTTTTCGATACTTCACAACATTCTCTCTTGATACAAAAACTTGAATATTATGGCTTAGATGCAAACTCGTTATCATTCTTTCGAAATTATCTCCTAAACCGGAAACAGAGGGTTGTTGTGAAAAACAGGTTTTCTCGGTATCAGAATATTGAACGCGGCGTACCCCAAAGTAGTATCCTTGGCCCTCTCCTGTTTTCTGTTTATACAGCCGATTTTCCTTCATACCTTAATTATTGTGAAATTCATCAATACGCAGACGACACCCAATTGTATTATCCATTCGCATCATGTCAGAGTTTCTTAGCGGCTTCTCATATAAATGAGGATTTGAATACTATATAACGACTTGCAATATCACACAAGTTGATCTTGAATGATGCTAAAACTGAACTATTGCTCATAGGTAAGGATCGCAATGAAATCCTACTTGACCCAAATTTTACAATTTCCCTCAATGATAAGGTCTTGAACACATAAGGTATGGCAATATACATCATTACGCTGACGATACACAATTATATAGATCTTTCAGTTTTGATGACTTAAAACATGCTGAAGTTGAAATCAATGAAAATCTTCAACTATTGTTCGAAGTTTCGTGTGCCCACAACTTGAAACTGAACCCTAAGAAATCCCAAGTCATGCTTTTTGGTCCAAGAACTAAGAAACATATTGTGAGTGACACTATTTCTATTCGTATTGACGGCAACGTCATACCATTTGTGGATGAATGCAAGAATCTGGGATTATATCTTGATACTAATATGAGATTCACTAAACATGTAAACCACTTATGTAGATTATCTTTCAATATCCTGAGACAGTTATATCCTAGTAGGGACCTGATTTCAAAAAATATGAAGTTGAGACTGTGTGAATCTCTCATTTTTTCGAGACTGTCCTACTGTGACTGTATTTATGGTCCTGCCCTACTAGATACAGATGCTACAAGGCTACAGAGGATACAAAATAGCTGCATACGATTTTCATACGGCATCCGTAAGTATGACCATATTAGTACATCCTTCCAAGATTCAGGTTGGCTGAAATTGAAGCTGTGCAGGGAGATGCATATGCTAACTTTCACCCATAAAACATTGAAAACTGGATACCCGCCTTACCTACGTAGAAAATTGGTCCCACTTTCACGTAATGATTCCTCCCGTAACAAACATATTCTACTCATTCCCAAACACCACACAGCACAATTCACCCGTTGCTTCTCTTATAATGCTTCTAAATCATATAATACCCTTCCCTCAGAAATAAAAGAATTCACTTTAAAAAATTTCAAGAAGAGATTGAAAGCATTGTTTCTTACAAGGGAATGATATAATGGTTACAAAGCTAGTTTCTCTCCAGGCGTGACGATATGTTATGTATGCATTACTTGGTTTACCATCTTCATTGATATTATCAACTTGTTTTTACGATTATTATCATCATTGTTTTCATCACTATTATCACCATTATTAATATATTTATATTCTAATCGCATTTTACTGTTAGTATAGCATATATGATTATGATCATTATTATTTTGGTTAAACTTTATGTTATTATTACCTACTCATCTTTTTTTTTTCTTCTTGAGGATGGGTTTAAAAGCAGCTTTGATAGCTGAACCTCTCCTTTTCATCATCTTAATGTATTATATTTCTAATTTGTTTGTGTAATTTCCTTATTGATGATGAATAAAGACACATTATTATTATTATTATTATTATTGAATGGTTCAGAATATTGTAAAAATTTGGGTATTTACTTGGATTACAACATGAGGTTCGAAAAACAAGTATCTAATTTGATTCAAAAGTCTTATGGTAAATTGAAACTTCTATATATGCACGAAGAACTGCTTAATACTAACCTCAAACTGACTCTTTGCGACAGTCTGTTCTTGTCACAAATTACTTATTGTAACGTGGTCTACTGGCCAGCACTGTTGGCCAAACAGAAACTCGCCCTACAAGAGATCCAGAATGCGTGTGTGAGATACTCATACAACTTGAGAAAATATGATCACATTACTCCAACATTTTCCAGAACTAAGTGGCTTTATCTAGAGGAAAGATATCTTTATAATATGTCCTGCTTGATTTTCAAACTAAATGAATATGAAGAGCCAAGATATTTACTGAATAAACTGAAGAAACGGAATGATTTTCATCAGTGTTCTACCCGCAATCGAGAACTGTATAGTGTGCCTAAACACGCCTCTGCCCAATTTAGGCGAAGTTTTTCATATAATGCCGTGAAAATTTATAATGAATTGCCACCTAAAATCAAAGATAGCTCTAATATATCATCATTCAGAAAACAGATCAAAGAACTAATCATTAACAGAAAGTGAAGAATTATTCATTTGCAATTTTTCAACTTCTGCTCAGATTATATACAAGTTGTACATGGGATTATTACTATGTTGCATATCACTTATTATTTCTAATTATTATTATAATCAATATTTCTATTATTATCATTATTAATATCATAGATGCTGTTATTATTTTTGTTATTATTATGTATTATGATTATTTATCATCAATATATTATTATTATTATTATTATTATTATTATTATTATTATTATTATTATTATTATTATTATTTTAAATTCATATAATTCCAGTCACGACCCTGCGGCCTCCGACGTCACGCAGAGTCGTGCTGGATAAAATCCAGTGACTACTCCTCACAGCCTGTGAGGTGAGTAATCACTGGGACCAAGTACCGTGTGCCCTGAGTAGACGCAATGATCCAAGTATGACGGCCTTCTGCATACCACCAGCCAGGATGTGTGCCTTATCACGGCACGCTGGGATTTTCTGGATCTCCGAGAGTAGCGTGTGTCGTGTGCCTCCTAGGGAGCCGA